GTACGAATGAATAACTAATACACGTCAATCTTTTTACAATTATGACGATAAACACATTTTTTATAAAAAAAAAATTGTCACTCATGTTTAACATTTCGACGAATGCATTTTATTAAAATTCATTTGGTTTAATAACAAAACTGGAAAAATTTTACGCTTCGTCATATCCTGATATTATGTTTTAATTTTTAACCGTAATTAAATACTTTTTCCTTTGTAAAAATTTATGCTGTCTTGATAAAGTTACTATAAAATTTAAAAAAAAAAAAAATTAAATATTTTTATTTTTATTAAAATAAATTTATGAAATAATAAATAAATAAATAAATTACCAAATATTAAAACTGGTTTAAATGTTACTACTACTGTAAACTACCAATTATTTAATAATAATAATAAAAAGAAAATCTAACGTTTAAAATGGTTTTTTATTCATTCAAATTATTACAAAAATAAATATGACTAAAATAATAATGATTAATTTCTAAATATATATTTATTTATATAAAGTTACCTTTATTATATTAAAAAATATTTAATTTGTTTATTGTTTACAAATATTATTTTAACGATTAAAATAAAACAATATTATTTGCATCAAGTTATATCAGTGGTTTTATATTTTAAAATGATAATTATAAATTTTTTTAAGACAAGATTAAAAAAAATTGTAATAAAATACTTTTGATATTAAAATAAGTTTCATATTGAAATGAATTTATAACCTGTTTAAAAAATAATAATTATTATTATTATCATCTCCATTACGTATGTAAAACCTGAACTTTGAATTATTTTAAAATAAATAAACTAAAAATAAAAAAAAATTTTTTTAAATTAAAAATTTATCGAGTCGTTTTATTTGAACGTTTTAAATTCAATTAATGAATTAATTTAACACAATTACAAAAAAAATAAAAATAAAATTAAGTTATACACACGCACGCACACACACGTGTAAAAAATAAATAATAATTTAAATAAATAATTTAAATAAATGTCAATTTATATCAACGATAAATGTTGAAGCAAATTTGACGGCATTGAAGTTTCCAATTTATCCCACAGGTAATTGATCGGAACAGAAAACCAAGCGAGTATCTGAAAATTATAAATAATTAATAATAAATCCGTTGGAAAATATTTTTTTTATCATATTATTTTACATGTGATACTCACAGCACGAACTATCATACCCATCGGTTGGGGATATTGATGTGTGAGAAAAGCTAAAATTGCTGTAAAAGTACATAAACCGGCAGTAAATAAAATGAAAAATGGAAGTTCTTTCTTAGGATAAACGCTCACATCGTGAAAAGCTAAAAATACAATAAAAAAAAAAAAATTTTACATTAATACTTTGATAAAGAAAAAATAATTTAAAAAAAGGAGAATTACTAACAGGGTAAAAGTTCACGATCGGCACATTCGGTACACGTTGGATATGGATAAAATAAATGACCTTTTTCTAATGGATATGGAAGCATTCTAAATGTTCCTTCCCATGTGCAATGTAAAAGATTCAAAGCTCCATCGACATTTTTCCAATGTGGCAAATGAAAAAATGCATAAGCAATCGCTTCGGAATCTCCTCTTTTAAGAATGTGTTCCGGTGGCAATATTAACGGTTTAGATTCTAATAAATACTAAAGTATAGAAAACAAAACTTTTGTATTTATTTAATTTTTTTAAAATTCATTATTTAAAATATTAGTTTTTGTTTTGTTTAAATTGACCTTAGGTACATGAGGATTAAATTCTACGGCTCTGTGAATTGCTTCAACGGCTGCCATTTCGTTAGCAGTTAAACCTCTTTTACTGGCTATGTTAGGACAAAACCTAAAAATTAATTGTAGGATCTAAATATTAGGAAAAATTACAAAAAAAAAATTAAAATAAATTAATTTCCGATTATTACTTATCGGCAACAGCTCTGGCTTTGAGCAATGCTGAAGTATAGCAAATGGTAGCAGATTTTGGCAAACTTATATCGTCATATT